GACAATTTTGACCCTTAACAAGGTTTTTGCCTTAGATTTTTATATCATAAACATATAACACTTTTAACTTGATAAGATGACGTATAAGGTGTCTTAGTTCATGGATCTTAACTCAATGTTACTTAAGATGTCGAGATTTGTTAAGATCTAACATATTTTACAAAAGAAACTAAGAAATCACACAAGACATGCATATAACACATAGATCTACACATTTTACTTATATTCTCCCCCAAAAATCATGTAAAAACCGAAATAAGGGGGTATGAACTCACCTTTGCTTTGATGTTTCGGTTTTGAAGAAGAGATGAAGAGATTTTTGGTCCTAGCCACACCTTGGAGTAGTTTTCGAGCTTATGAAGTTTCTAAGGTGTGATCATGGAATAAAGCTATGTAAGAAGGAGTTTTTCATGTTAAAATGAAAGGAGATGTTTGTGTTTGATAATAAATTACCAAAGATTGGAAATACTTGATGAAGATCCTTAGAACTCTAGCAAAATTTCGAGATCTTGGAGGAAGAAGGATGATCTTTGAGAGTGTTTGGAGAGTGTTTGAAAATGAAGTATGTGTGTGTCTGTGGTCTTTGCTCTCGGACGATGTAATAAGAAGAGAGAGGGTGAGATGAGTTTGCATGGAAATATGAGAAACAAATGCCTTGTTACATGGTGAATAATATGGAGGTGGCACCACTAAAGTCAACCCCCATTTCATTTCTTTTTTTTTTATTTACTCATGGGCCGAGAATTACATTAAGAAGGAGGAGATGAATCATTTTGGACCAATCTTGATCCTTACTCGAAATCATGAGGCCCATAGAGAAGTTTTCGGCCCATTGGGCCTTTAGGGTAGTTCACGGCCCAAAGTGGCATAAAAGAATGAATTTATGGCTTACTAGGTTTAATTGGATTAGCTATGGCCCAATAAGGCCCATTAGGGTTAGAATGAATCATTCTAGGCCCAAATGGTCCAAAATGTTATAGATTTGTGAATTGGGTCCATTTAGAATCCAAATAGGGTTTCCAAGCCCAAATAGTTGAATGGAATACTTATTGGTCCATTAGGCCCAATAAGGAAATCCTAGTCCAATATAGAGTTAAACAGGGATTTCTAGGGTTTTCAGACTCTTTGTTGAACATGAAAGGTGAATTTAAATGAGCACTGAGTGATATTTACATAGAGTATATGTTTTACAATGGTTGAATGATTACACAGGAATAGAATTTCCTAGCTAAAATGCTAGTTGTGACATAATATCATATAAGTCTTCAGACCAATATATATGATCAGTTGTTGACTATGAGTTGGATGTACATTGATAGTGCGAAACCGCATTAGTAACTTGATGTTATAAAACGCACTATTGTGTATGATTTAACAAGTAGTTAGTACAAGCATATACTATCGAAGTTTATATGTTCCTTTTAGTCCTTGGAGGATTAAAAGCGATATCTTGGGCCCCTCGATGATTTTGTTTTGACTTATGTTCCGGGCCCGATCAGAACTCAATTGATGTGTTCGATTAAGTTCTATGTCGAAACAAATCGGAAATCGGGAAACAAACTACCAGACAATAAGTATGACATTGTTCCATGTATTTGTCCGGCAAATATCTTGAAGAACAGAGGATTATATGATCCCTTATCTAAATGGCATGTCAGGTTTTGACAAAGGCTTTTAATAGCTACGATTGCTAGTCGGTTCCTGAAGTCGTACTGGAAGCTATAGTTATTAGACTTATCCAAGTGGGAGACTGTTGGATAAGGTGTCTAAGTCCATAACTATAATTGGTATGTACTTGACCCGAGAGTAGCATGGTCCATTTGGGTTGTATTTCACCGGAACAATTTGTAAGGATGGACTTTTTGAGAAGAGGTTATTTATGATTTATTAATATATTATAAGTTCTAATATATTAATATGAAATCATATTATTTAATTAGTATAGGTCAAGAATTAATTTGGAATTAATTTAGTGATCAAAAGATACTAATTAAATGTAAGGGGTTGATTTGGTAAATCAATGATTCTTATAGTGTGGGCCAATGGTTATTTAGGTTGGGCTAAACCAACATGGTAGTCCATGGATAGTCCATGGAGGTTTAACCCATGGAGCCTAAGTAAGATGAAAGGTCATGCACATTAGGGTTTACATGGATGTAACCCTAATCCTTGGCACACTATAAAAGGAGTCCCTTAGCACATGAAATGGGCCACTAGTGATCTTTGGAAGAGCAAATCCGATTTTTGTGTGCAAGTTATTCTCTCTCAAGTCCTTCATTGTTGGTGGTGTTTTGTGAAGCATTTGAGGCATCACATTTGGGGTGTTAGGCTCTTAAAGGTCCAAGATAACAAGCTACAAGAAAAGGTATGTCATCTAACTAGTTTTTTGTTGTACAAGTACCCATGTTTTGTATGCTAGTTAGGATAATGCTTTGGAAAATCAAATTGCATGTATAATTAGATAAAACATAGATCCAAAGCATTTATGGTTGTATGTGCACCTTAAGGTTGTTAGAGTGCTCAAAACCCATCAGACATATGGTAGTAGTGGGTCGAGACTATTGCTTTGTGCTGAGAGTCAACTGACCGAGCATTCCAACCGTAAGGTTGTAGGCCACGGGTAATCCAACAAGGATGTTGTGGACCCGTTACATTTTAGGCAATCCAACCATAAGGTTGTGGGTCAGGGGTAATCCAACCAGGAGGTTGTGGACCCGTTACATTTTGGGCAATCCAACCGAAAGTTGTGGGCCAGGGGTAATCCAACCAGGAGGTTATGGACCTATTACTTTTTGGGCAATCCAACCGTAAGGTTGTGGGCCGAGGGTAATCCAACCGGATAGGTTGTGGACCCGATACTTGTTGTTATATGTTGTGTGTTGGTATTTTTGGGGAAACCCACTAAGTTTTGTTCTTACTCAGTTGTTTATCGTTTCAGGTATCATCGGTTAGCATGGGAAGGCGAAGGCGTGACTGTACACATTCATCAGCAGCAACGAAGATTTTGCGTTTAAAATATTACTCTGATTTTCAATAAATGTATTTGGAATAAATGGTTTTCTTCACAATGGAATTAAAATTTAAAATCTTTACCTTAATAAAAATGAAAAATTTTGGCTGTGAAATGGGACATTACAATTCTACTTCAAATCAACATTTTGAAAGCAACCTAGTTCACGTCAAATCATGGACAATAAAAGTGCATTGTTATTTCCTTGGAACCGTTTTAATGAACTTAGCAAGCAAAAGAATATATACTTTTTCTACTTATGGACCATTTTCCCTTTGCTATAATGAACTTTGATTATTACAATGCCTCAACTCCCACCATGTGATTAAAAGAACAACACCTAAGTACATTTCCCATTTGATTTTATTAAAACTACTTTCAAAGTACATTGCCTTTTATAAAATCATACAAATACCATTAACTTAACTTGTCATGATTTTCACTACAAACATAACAAAAAGCATCCATAAAAAAAATTATAAATCACCAATTTCTTAGTCTTTTCATCGAACTGCTTTCTAAAACTCACACTATCCTCTTTGTCTTCATCTTGTACAAATTGAAATCATTTTTTGTCTTCATCTTGTACAAATTGAAATCTTTTTCCAATCTTAAAATCTTCATTTCCATTGAGCTTGTGTGTGGTTCTGCTTCATCTTGGTCCGGTTTATTAGTTCTTGATCAACCCATTTCCAAAACTTACAACTTTTCTTATTTGGATCCTTCATATTCATAAAAAATCAGATAATGAAGAAATTATTTAGGAGAAATGTAAGATAAAGCTTTCAAACACACTTACCAAAGAGTAAGGACAAACCCTAAACTTTCTGCCAAGATTGGCCTTGGTGGTTGACGACCACGTTCGAGCAATGTACCCACGATCACAAAGCTTCCCATCTTCACGTGTCCTCTTTGATTTGGAAATGTTGGTGCTTGACTTGGAGATCATGGATTTAAAGGAAGAAGAAAAAGCCATGAAAGAAGGAAGAAGTCGTTCACAAAGGAGGAGATTTTTGTCATAGTTCATTTCATTAAAAATGGGTTATATAACTGAAAATATTCTTATGACAACTAAGCAATCTACATGTCAAATATAATGCCAAGTCAACCATTAACTAAACTACCATATTACCATGGGTAAGATAAGAACAAAACATGAAGATGTTATTTTTGTATGAATTCATTAGTTTATTGGTATTTTTTATACTATAAAAAATACAATAGTATTTTTAAAACCTTGTTACCTTTTCAAATCCTTGTATTTTTAAAACTTTTTTACCTTTTCAAATCATTTCACCATTTATAATCTACTCTAAACACATGATCCTATATTTTACTACTAGGTGTAAAACCCGTGTATTACACGGGTCGATTAAAACAGAAATTAAATATTAAAGTGTAAACAATAAATATTTTTTTAAATCAAATTTTGAAATAAGAAATAAATACATGTATTAATTGCAATTTAATATCATATTTATGACATTTAATATTTTACATATATAAATATTATGTGGCTTTTTAGTTTTAAAATTTGAAAAACCTAATAATTGACGTGTGGATATTATTTATTTCAAAAATATCATAAAATGACAACTGTAAAAAATTATGAGAGATTGACATGTATCAAAATGTATCTTCATTTATTATAGTTGATTTTATGCAAATTAAGGGGAAATTCCCTTTCCTGTGCGTCAGCATTTATGCATGGCTTAAAAGCTGCGTCGTGAGAAGTATAAAATCCCCAACCGATACCATACCATAGCTGTAGCCCAGAAAATCTTCCTTCTTGTTTCTCCCATTATCTTTTAAACATTTACATCATATCACCGCCAATACACACTTCAGCGTCGAATCTTCCAACCACAGAACACCCACCTTTCGCCCAACGCCATCTTCATGTTTCCTCATCACTCTCTATCTAGATGGATACAAATTCTCTGTATAAATAACAAGAAACGTTTTAGGTTTTGATTTTCTTGATAAAAAGATGAAGAACATTAGATCGTGTGAAGAGATCGGCATTCTGCAACACGATTTGGTAAGACGTGAACCCTTACTTGTTTTTCTCTAATTCGTGCTTGTGTTTCGTCAATTTCTGCGTAAACCTACTTCAGTTTTCGATGGATTTTTGTTGATTTGAGTTTTTAAAATCTTAAGCTCAATTTGAAATCAATTGTTTCAACAATGAAAAAAGTGCATTCTTTTCATGAATCTTATACGACATTTCACAAAATGATTCAGTGTGAGTAGGATTTTCTTTACTCTAGTTATTCTCTTGTTCTCTTTTGGTAATAATTTCCCCCAAAAACATGCTTGTGTTTGTTTTTTATCCTCAATTTTACTTTCTCAAACAGGTCTTAATGAATTGAACCTTAATGGAGACACGATTTAATGAACTTAATGGAGACTCTCTTTCTTTACTTAAATCAAAGAGAAATTCAAAATAAAGGAGCTTTTTATAGTTAAACCTCAACATTATAATCATTTGATCAAAGCTCCAATTTATTTTATTTAATTATAAAGTAAAATCTTCCTTTCACTAATAAGTTTGTTAGCTTAAAGAACATAACAAATAATTGTGTCCAAATTTTATAAAAGCAAACAGTTATTATCAGTTATCTCCGATGACAATAAGAATCAGTCCAAATTATTTATTATGCCAAATTTTTAAGACTCAAAATTTCCAACTTAATGTCAAGGGGACTAAGTAATTGAAGCATGGTTTGAGGCTTGTATTTTCCAACTAGAAATCATTCTATTCCCTTTTGGAGTGTTAAATTCGTTGCATTGTTTGATGAAAATTTGGTTCTTAAAGTTGAATTATTTCACCATTATTTGATGGAGAAGATTACAATTGCTTTCCTTAACCATGATTTACAATGACTAGAATGAGTAACTAAATTTCAACATGAATTGCAGGATGAGTTACAAAAATCAGATATGCATGCAGATGATTACAAAAACACATCAGCTATACTTAGAACAAGACTCGAAAGACTGTTGAAGGAAAGAGAGTTAAGAAAATCTTCCAGGAGTACTCAAACTGATGATTTTCATGGAAATGATAATAGTAGTAATAATAATAACAATAATAATACGATTGGGAATCGCAAAATATTTTCAACAGGGACCCATCCTGATGAAGAATTACGAATTCGCCCTCCAACAAACAGTCAACGTTTATTAGTAGTAGCAAATCGTCTACCTGTTTCTGCCACTAGAAAGGGTGATGCATCATGGCAACTTGAAATGAGTGTTGGGGGTTTAGTCAGTGCACTTTTAGGTGAGTTTTTCTTTACTAATGGTGATTATCAGGGAAAATTACAGTAAATAGTAACATATTATTATTTCTTTTCTAAACACCGTTAAAATAACCAAATTAAGTGTTATCTAGATAAAGTGTTTTCCTTATGTTTATATTTGAAAAGATTCTAAAGGGGGAAAGCTTTGATAAAGGTATAACTGAATTTGAAACAAGATGGATCGGATGGGCTGGAGTAAATGTAACTGATGAAATCGGGAAGAAATCATTGACCAAAGCTTTAGCTGACAAGGTTGACTGTATGTAAATTTATTTATAAAGGGTTAAAAAAAACAACCTTCATAGCATCGTACTCTCATTTCTTTCTATTATAGATTGTGTCTATATATATACGGTTAAATGAAGAAAATAGCAACGTTTATAGCATCCTACTTTTGTGAGTGGATTTTTAAAAATCCAATGCCTTAATAAGAAAAAAAACCCGAAAGTACAATGATATAAAAAATACAATGCCTTTATAAGAGAAAAACTAAATTAGAATGTTGTAATAGAAAGAAATGGAAGTATGATGCTATAATACGCAAATAAATTAAAGTAGGTTGCTATTCTTCCATTTATTCATGTTTATAGAAGATGTTTAATATTTTGAACAAAAAAAAACAAGGTTGTTACTCTAGCAATTGTTGGTATGCAGAGGTGTGTCCCGGTTTTTCTTGATGAAGATCTTGTTAATCTGTATTACAATGGATATTGTAATAATATCTTATGGCCTCTCTTCCATTACCTTGGTCTCCCACAAGAGGATCGCCTTGCTACTACTCGTAGTTTTCAATCTCAATTTGATGCTTACAAGAAAGCTAATCAGTTGTTTGCTGATGTGGTGAGTGAGCATTATATAGAAGGGGATGTCATTTGGTGTCATGATTACCATTTGATGTTTCTACCTAAATATTTGAAAGAACGTAATAATAAGATGAAAGTTGGTTGGTTTCTACACACACCGTTTCCTTCCTCCGAGATTCAGAGAACACTGCCTTCCCGATCTGAGCTGCTACGAGCCGTTCTTGTAGCCGATCTTGTTGGGTAAAGACTTACATTCTAAAATTTGTTCCATAAAAATATTAGCCCCTTTCAGACTCAATCACTACTTTCATCCCTAAAGCTGTGTTTGTTACACTATGTCCTAGACAGTCTGGCGGGAAGACAACCCAAAGGCCAAAACACTATCTGCTTGTCTGCCCACTCTGGGCAGACGACTCTGAACAGACAGTCTGCCTTAGGGCAGACTATCTGTCATGGGCAAAAAGTCTGCCCAGTCCCGTGTCCCGTCCTGGACAGATGGGCAGACTGTCTGTCCCGTCCTGGAGTCTATCTTGGATGGGACACACGTCTGTTTTGGACGGGACAGGGACAGACAGTGTATGGACAAATTGTCAGTCCTATGCCTAACAGAGATAGTATTGATGCTAACATGTGCTATATATCAGCTTCCACACCTATGATTATGCAAGGCACTTTGTGAGTGCATGTACTCGAATTCTTGGGCTTGAGGGTACTCCTGATGGAGTGGAGGATCAAGGGAAACTTACTCGTGTTGCTGCGGTAAATTACTTGATCATCTTTCGTTTATATATATATATATATATATATATATTTCACTTATGTATATTTTGTTATGTTTTTTGAGCACAAAACTTAGAATCTTGAAGCAGCTACTGATTCAGATTCATATATTGGGTTTTGAAAGCACAGTTTCCTATTGGGATAGATCCTAGTAGGTTTATACGAGCAATTCAACTTCCTCAAATCAAAGAACATATAAAAGAATTGGAGGAGAGATTTGCTGGTCGAAAGGTAAATCATAATAAACACTCATTAAAACCCAATAAGATTATAGCACAAAATATATATTTTCTAGTTAGTTTTAGAAAATAAAATTCTGATTTGATTAAAATCATGGAATTCTCATAAAAAACGATTTGTGCCAATAAAAATTACTTTAACAGAAATAAGTTATATTGCAATTTTCCATTCCATTGCATGATGGAATTTAATTAAAAAAAAAAAAAAAAAAAAAAAATCCCTTGATGAAAAGTAATAAAATGGGAGGAATCACATTCCATCAAACAAAACAAATAGCCTTTTCTCATTACAATAGAATGAACAATTCCATTCCTTCCCTAATTCCATCATATTTCAAAACACGACCCAATTTGTCTATCTTATCATTTTATAGTTAATTTTTCTTATACGGCATTAAACACAAAAAATCTAATCAATCGGATGTATAAATAACAAGTAAAGTGCTTCCAAGATTTTCTACCTGTGTATACTATGCACTACCAAAACAAATCTTTTTCAAGGGATGCAATACAATATGGAATTTCTAATTTTCAATAATTTGTTACACTACAAAAAGCTAAAAGTTTCTTTTCATGGTATGCACATGTATATCTTAGCATTTCTCATTGGTTTTTTTTTTATATGAAGGTAATGTTAGGAGTCGATCGCCTTGACATGATTAAGGGAATTCCACAAAAGATTTTGGCATTTGAAAAATTCTTGGAAGAAAATCCGGATTGGCATGACAAAGTAGTGTTGCTTCAGATTGCAGTGCCAACAAGAACAGATGTTCCCGAGTGTATGCTTTTAATCATTTTAAGGGTTAAATGCAAGAAATAACAACATACTTTTGTTTATTTGTGTATTTATTATTTATAGGATCTTACTTTTATTTTATCCTATTACAACATTGTACTTTGAAATAGCTACCCAGTTAAAATGCTAAAATTGGGTAGGACTTTTAAAGTACAATGCCTTAATAATAAAAAGATTGAAATTATATTGTTTTTCAATTATCGAAGCATGAAACTCGTGTTATTTCTATTTTTGTTCTTTATGGATTAACAGATCAAAAGCTCACATGTCAAGTTCATGAAATTGTTGGAAGAATTAATGGAAGATTTGGGAGCCTTACAACTGTCCCGATTCATCATTTGGTTTGTCTTCTCTTTTAATTGAAAAACATCTTGTTGAATCTTGAGTTAAAACACAAGATATTGATTCAATGTATAATGGTTGATTATTATATTATCAAGACCCCCCCCCCCCCCTCTCTCTCTCTCTACAAATACTGTTATACCTTTGGGAGCAATACTAATAAGAGTACACTCATGCAAATGGGAGAAAAAGGTTAATTAAACTACAAAAATACAAGATGACGATTGTGTGAAAGATTCTTCTCTTCTTGTAGATGCATCAATAGAATAATATCCCATGATTTTTTAGCCTTGAAATCTGTGATTCCTTTTCTTTATACAGGATCGCTCTCTTGACTTTCATGAATTATGTGCACTATACGCCATTACAGGTATGCTTTAACCCCTACCAAATCATGTGTTATGCTGGTTGAATGCAAGAAATAATATACTTTTATTTATTTGTCAATTATAACATCTAACTTTCATTTCTTTCTATTACAACATTGTATTTCCTTTTTTTTTTTTTTCTTATTAACATATTGTACTTTGAAAATCTACCCAATTATAGCTTTATACTTTCAATTTTTTTTCCCTTATTAGGGTATTGTACAAATTTATTCGTATTTGGTTGGCATTGCTACAACTGGTAGATTTTTCAGAGTTCAATGCTGAAATAGTTTGAAATGGAAGTAGGATACTATAGCACACAAATACTTGAAAGTACTTTGCTCTTTCTTGCATTTTAACCCTATGTTATGCACTTGTACTTTACTCATAGATGCTAAACTATGCTTCTCCCTTTAAAAATCTCAATTAACAAGTCTTTTTTGCTACCTAACACAATCATATTTTCTCGAATTGGTGGATAAAGTGATATACAATTTTTTTTACATAGATGTGGCTCTTATTACATCATTAAGGGATGGAATGAATCTTGTGAGCTATGAATTTGTAGCTTGTCAAGCTTCAAAGAAAGGCGTTCTAATCTTAAGTGAGGTATTTATTCCTAATTAGTGGGCTACATTCTCTCATTACTTTTACCATTTTATCGGTTTAACCACTTTATTATTGTTTATAATTATTAAACCAATATTCATTTTTTTTTACTATTTAGAAAAAGAAAATCCATTTTTACTGAGTACCCTGTTTTAAGAAAAGGAAAAATTATAGAAAATCACAATGTACATTCACCTTTTTATCAATTTAGCCACTAAACTATTGGATTTTTTTTATCATAAAATGGCGAAAGCGCATTGTGCTCTTCTGTATTTTGTCATGATACCAAAACTGCATAACTGGGAAAAATGGTTTTTTTTATACGTTAAAAAAAGGTATAACTATTCAATCACTACAAAAAGATAGTCAAGTGGGTAAATTGAAAAATTTGGTAAAAGTACATTTTGGGTTTTCTTTTCTCTAATTTTCCAAAAAAAAGTATGTGCATAGTTATTAAACATTGCAATTTTCATGGAATGGATGATGTATATGTTTCATACACATAGTTTGCAGGAGCAGCACAATCTCTGGGTGCAGGGGCAATTTTGGTAAATCCATGGAACATTACAGAAGTGGCTTCTTCAATTGGTTATGCTCTAAATATGCCTGCTGAGGAGAGGGAAAAAAGACACCACCATAACTTTGTGCATGTCACTAGTCATACATCCCAAGAATGGGCTGAAACATTTGTTAGGTATGTATGTTATCAATGCACTTTATTTTTTTATCAATTAAATAAATGTAAATGTAAGTATGTTGCTATTATGTGTAAGGACTTGTAAGTACATTGCTCCATTTGTTTGTTACAATAGCGTGTGGTTTATTGTCTTGATGTGTAGTGAATTGAATGATACGATTGTGGAAGCTCAATTGAGGATTAGACAGATTCCACCTCTACTTGAAACAAATGAAGCAGTTGAACGATATTTGGATTCAAGCAACCGTTTACTCATTTTGGTATTCTCTCCCTTTAAATTAAATAGAAAAAATAAAATGTTGTTCTAAAATTAGTTGAGAAAAATACGGGACTCTTGGGAAAAAAAACAATATGAGGGGAAGTTTTGTAATATGTTAGGGACTTAACGGAGAAGACTCGTTTCTGTGACCTTTTTTTCTAAGTCTTTTGTTATATATTAAAAAAGATATACACCCAACTATAGCAATGCTATTCAAATTTGCAATTCTCATTGCTATAAATTAGTAGAGTTTTCAAAGTACAATATTCTAATAAGAAAAAAAGAAAGAAAGTACAATGCTATGATTGGGTAGATTTTTTAAAGAACAATGTTGTAAGGGAGATTTAACGGCAAGTCTGTTAACTTTTGAAGGAACATGCATGACTTTCTGTTAAATCTAACGAAAAAATGCGACTCTCAAGGATTGATGGTTAAGTGCCAAAATTGTCACATCCAAACTGTTTATATACTTTTTTTTTAATAGTTTGTATATTTCAAGTAATATAATTAAAGCTGGTTGTAATTTAATTTCATAGGGGTTTAATTCAACACTGACCGAACCCGTGGATACGGGTAGACGATTCGATCAATTCAAAGAGATGGAACCGAGACTACACCCTGAAGCAAAAGAAGCTTTAAAGAGACTTTGTGATGATCCAAAGACTACAATAGTCATCCTAAGTGGAAGCCACCATTCAGTCCTTGATAAGGTATTAAATGCAAGAAGTAGCAATGTACTTCCTTTAATTTGCATATTATAGCATCCTACTTTCATTTCTGCTATAATCGGGTATAAGTTTCAAAGTATAATTTCCCAATAAGAAAAAATTTAAAATACAATGCTACAATTGGGTAGAATTTTTCAAATTACCATGCCTTCATAAGAACAAAATTGGAAGTATGGTGTTGTAACAGAAATAAATGAAAGTAGGATGCTATGATAATAATAAACAAATAAATAGAAGTATGTTGCAGTTTCTTGCATTTATCCCTAAATCTCTCTCCATCACTTGTTTGTGAAAGAGACCTAAATGCCCTCCTCATCCTCATCCTCATCATCGAAAGGGCTAAATACAAGAACTATCAATGTACTTCTATCAATTTGTTTATTATAGTATCCTACTTTCATCTCTTTCTGTTATAGCATTGTACTTTAAAAAAAACTACCTAATAAGGCATGTCATCCAAATACAAAGCAAACTTCACTACTATCATTGGGTAGATTTTCCAAAATATAATGTCCTAATAAGAATAAAACTGAAAGTACAATGTTATCATTAGGTAGAATTTTCAAAGTAGGATGCCTTAATAAGCAAAAAAAAAAAGTACAATGTTGCAATAGTAATAGATGAAAGTATGATGCTATAATAAATTAATAGAAAGTACATTGCCATTTCTTGCATTTATCCCTCATCGAAATAGCCATCCCATCATGTTTTATATCATTAGCAAATAAAATGTTGGTGTTTTATTTGATGAATGTGCAGAACTTTGGAGAATTAAACATATGGTTGGCTGCAGAACATGGAGTGTTTTTAAGAACACCCAATAAAAAATGGACAAGAAACATGCCCCAAGTACACATGGATTGGGTTGATAGTGTCAAGGTCAGTCCATCCATCCACCCAACATTTCCCCTTTTCGACATCATCATCATCAGCATGTGCACTTTTGTCTAAAATTTAAACTATTTATAAATATTTAGTGTGTTGAATATGATTATACAATCGAAATTTTGTTGTATTAAAATCATATACTTGGGAGACTTTATGATGTTGATTTCAGCACGTGTTTGAGTATTTCACCGAGAGAACTCCTCGATCTCAGTTTGAGCTTCGTGAGACATCATTGGTTTGGAATTATAAGTATGCAGGTTATTGTCGTCGTCAATTTATATTTCCTTTTATATATGTTTTTAGATTAATTCAATTTTCACTTTAATTATTGGGCTACAGATATCGAGTTTGGAAGGCTTCAAGCTAAAGACATGTTGCAGCACCTTTGTACAGGACCCATATCAAATGCATCCGTAGAAGTTGTTCAAGGTGGCAGGTCCGTTGAGGTTCGCACAACTGGAGTCACCAAGGTTTCTCATTTTTCCCTTCTACTTGTTTCTTTATATATATATATATATATATATATATATATATATATATATATATATATATATATATATATATATATCCCATCTGACATGACATATTGTGTTTGATGTGCATTGGACTGAGACCGATGTCAAAAGGGACAAATATTGAAATTTTTTTCTCCCACCCAAAAAAGGTGGGACAAGGACTTGCTCGGGATCTCTCGACTCTGCAAAAAGACATAAATGCTCTCCTCATCCTCATCATTGAAAAAAGCCCTAGAAAACTTGTCTAGTCTCGTCCCATGTAACAAAATGCATTTTGTTACACTCGATAGGAAATGACAGATTGGACAAGCTTTTTAGGGCTATGTTTGATGATGAGGATAAGAAGGGCATTCATGTCTTTTTCACATACAACAGATCAAGAGCGATTCCTTCCTGCTTTTTTTCATGAGACAAAAATTTGCAACTTTTTTGTTCCGTCGACATTAATCCCATTCCCGGTCCAATAAACGCAGTACAACTTATGGCACGCATCCATGTATCATGTGATCCCTTTTTCTCCAATCCTTTTTAGGGTGCAGGAATTAAACGTATTTTAGGACAAGTCATACATTATAAAGACACAAGGGAACCAATCGACTATGTTCTATGTGTGGGACATTTCCTCCCCAAGGTAAAATATATACCTTTCCATCTATCCAAAATATCATATACATACAACTCACTATCTCTATAATCTATCTAAATCCTTGTTGTATTAGGATGAAGATCTTTACACATTTTTTGAGCCGGAGCCACCTACTCCGGTGAGGTCAAGCTTATCGACCCCGGTCAACAGATCATCTTCGGATCGAAACGGGTCCACAGGACATAAAAAATCTCATCCGTTTCCTCCTTCCAACAGCAATCATATTAGCAATGGGGACAAAAAAGATGCCACACCATCCATTCTTGATCTCAATAGTAATAATTACTTCTCTTGTTCCGTCAAAAGAAAGCTATCGAGTGCTAGGTATCTCTTAAGTTCATCAGCCGATGTTGTCTCGCTGTTGAAACAAATGGCAGATGTTTTATAGTCGTAATAATAGTGAATACACACACACACACAAAATGTTAACAGTGGTAAATACATTGCTAGCATGGATAAAAGGTATTTCTTGCAATAGTAACTCATGTTACAAATCTCAAAAGCTAGAAAAATGCACTTCTGTAGGGCCCCTCGAGTCGGCGGATTGCACATTTTTTTTTTAAAATTGTCGGCTTGCCAATTTTTTCTACACTTGGTGATAGCAAATTTTTGTGTAGCTTTCAAGATGTGGAAAGCAGTCATCTCCTTGTATGAAAAATTCGCTGAGCTATTTACATATTATTTTAAGTGCAATAATATTGGAATTTGTTTATAGATCGTGTGGGGAAATAAGAAACATTATATTATGTATTAATGTATGAGAATGGTATTGTTGATTGTGTACTACATTAATTTGGTGAAAGTTTAAAAACGATTTTTTTTCTTAAAAAAAAAAAAGACAGAGTACAAACTATTATTGTAAACATGGATAACATACAATACAATGAATCCAAGGGTTATTTCCAATTATATACAAGGGGGATGAGTTATAGGGCTAATTTGATGATGAGGATAACGAGGGCATTTTTGTCTTTTCCACATACGAGAGATCTACAACAATGTCCCACCTTTTCTGAGTAGGACAAAAAAAAATATAACTTTTGTCCCATTGACATTAATCTGAGTCCCATGTCAGACAAACAGAAACACAGTACAACCTGTTATGTCTGTATTGCTACTTACCAATGAGTTGTTATAGATTCTATTCATCTGATGTGTATCTTCTAACCCTAACTCGTTCACCCTTAAAATGAATGTATTTCCATTGACTTAAGTACTTTTTAAGGACTAATTGTTGTTTTTCCTTTTCACCCACTATTTGAAAAGCACGTGCAACTTTCCTTGTGGTGTCCTCATCTGGTTTCACTCCAAGTTCCTCCATGTCTGCAAACACCTGATTCATTATTTACAAGAGATTCATTAAACTTTACTACAACTTACACAATATACTTACTAATTAACTTTAGTCTCTGTATCAATATGGGCAATTCGCTTTCAATATGGACATTTTACTTTATTTGTTACACATATTGCTATTTTCAGTAAAAAAAAAATGTAAGTACATTGCTATCATATTTCCTGAAATTTGAGGACAAAAATAATTTAAGCAGTATGTATGTTGGAAAGCAACAGGAATTGTTTACCTCTATAATATTTTGGGGCATGTTATGATGAGCATAAATGGATATGATTCTTGAAAACAACCTTTTTGAGATTGATCTTTCATGTGTATGCAAAATCATGTTCCAAAAAGACTCTGCTTCATCTACCCTTTGCTCCATATCAAATGCATGTAGGAGGGTGTCAAATGTTCCCATTGTCATTCCTTGACCTTTCCCAAACATCCATTTCGCCACCTGTACAATGGAATAGGAATCATAATCTACCATGCCATGTGTTTGGAAGCTTTTTAGAATATATATACTTGAATGACTCGTTTCCATTGTTTGCGTTGTTTAAGGATATTAAGAGCTTTGGCAACTGCAATCACTGGGAATTCTGACTCCCAAGCTGTCCATTTATCAAGTTCTCCATAAACAGCTTCTTTCTCATTTGGCAAACCACAAACCTGTAAGTAAATTCACAAATTTAATAACTTTAAAACTCAATTTACCATAATAATCCCAAAGATTGAAAAGTCAAAGAAAATATCAATTTAGTAATGTTTGAGCATCATCTCATTTCAAAAGCAATTATTTATAGTAATAATGATAGTGAAGCAGTAACAATAAAAAATAATAATAATAATAATAAGCACTTACAATCCGAACAAGATTCAATGCCTTTTGCCCAGATGCAGCAGAATCTCTCTTATTCCATAAGTGGTGTTCTGTCTTACTTGGCTTTTTGGCAACTTTTCTGCAATATTTGTTTATAAAACTTTAACCTCAACAATCAAAATCCTTAAAACAACAAACTAATTTAAGTCTTATGATAATTCATAGGATAGGTAGCCACAACATGTCTCAATAGATTATTTAATATACAAAAAGAAAAATGCATGATGACAAATGGCAGGAATAAAAGATAATTTCAAAATTGTTGTATAGATCTTGATGACAGAAAAACTTGGTAAATAGTTAAAAGGGGAAAAATAGTTCATTAAGATTTCCAAAGGGTGGTTTAGTAATTAATCATAAATCAAAATAAAGAAAACAAAGAAGTAGCTTGCTAAGCTTACCTGTCCACATCATTTAACTTGATGAGCTGTCGAGAACTTTGATTCTTGGAACACTTGACAACATGCCAAATTTCCTGTGTAAAGTCTCAATCATGAATTTAAGAGAGGAAACAAAGGCAACAATTAACATTCGATGCTATATACAATTCAACTTTTGTACCCAAACAATTACTTTTGAACTATAATACATTTGATGGTTAATAGTGATTATCAAAATGACAAAACAAGCAGAATCAAATAAAATACATTGCTACTTTTTGCATTTAACCCTCTAAATTTTGTATTTATAAAGGACTCAGTTTGGCATCAAAGAGAAAAAACAAGAAAATTGAAAACAAACAAAGGGTTGAATGGTAAGAATGTATGTTTACCTTTTGTCTAATGGAAGGGGTTTTAATAAAAGAGAAATCTTGGATTCCAAACACGCCTATCTAACAACAAGAATAAGAAACAAATACAAAATGAATATAAGATTTAAAATGAGAAGACAAGTAGAAGGAAGCTTAGAAAAAAAGACTATTCTTTTGACCTGATTTTGTTTAGCTGATGAAATTGGAAATGACATTTGAGTTGTCAGCATGCTTTGTGCTTTCACCACCTTCGATATATAAACTTCTTTTGGTGGATCTGAATATGAAGCTTTTGAAATGAATTGTTAAACTTTCTAAAAATCAACACCACCTTATAAACATATATCATCAAATAATAGTACATAATCATATTGCACTTTTACCAAAATCAAATTCATACTAATTTTTAGCATATAAAAACAATTAGCAGCTAGATTTTAACCTTAATGAATCGTACAAGAAAACAGTACACACTACTTAATTAGCAAGTTTTTTTTTTTTTTTTAATTTGCAAAATTCATACATCTGACATAAATGAACTCAAAAGAGATTAATGTCACTTTCATTGAAGGCTATTTCCCATTCCTGGCCACATCAATGAACTCAAACATCAAGAAACTTGTAAAAAATACAATCTTTTTATACTCATCCCATCACAATATATCCATGTTTAACCAAAATATTCAGTTGATATACGTACTCAAATCATCGTATCAACAACTAAAATGTTGACCCAAGATCAAATGCAAGCACCTTCAGGAAGCTACAAATCCTCTGCAAGAAAACCCATGTTGGTACGTAATATCAATAAAGATTACACATAAATCATCAATTTAGGTTGTGAATAGTTAAATCATAATCAATGAGAAGAGTATGACAACATAAAATGCTTATGAGATAAAAACTTAAATCATCAATAGAGGTTGTGAATAGATTGCAACATGAAGAACCATACAACACAGCACACACAGATACATCATCACACAAATAAGTGAAATTTCGTTCCTTCTTTACATAACCCTCAATCTACTACCTGCTTGTAAACTATTAAAATTCAATAGACAAAGCCTCTGAACAATCGATTTGGAAGTCCATTGTGAATCAGAAATTGTTTTACAGAGATAGAGAGGAGATGAGATAAGAAACTAACAAGGAAGGGAGCGAAGCAGGAGGACGAGACCGACGACGGCGACGGCGATTGCGACGGGGATAGAGGAGGCCGACAGTGGAGGAGGAAGCGATGCAGCTGTAGTCTTGCGTTCGTTCATGAATTTAGGCGATTCGTTTTTAAGAATGATTTTGACTTTTTAACTTTAAAAATAATAATAATAATATATATAATAATAATAATAAATAAAATAAAATAAATAAAAAATAAAAAATAAAAACTGTGTAATAGAAAAGTTCTTTTGAAAATGATTTTTTTGTATAGAAGAAAAGAAAAGCTGACTTTTTGTTGTTTTACATATAAAAGTTAAATTAAAGGTCATTTTGCTAACTTTTTGTTAATTCAAACACATTTTAAAGACTCTTTTACAAAAAATTCTTCTACAAAAATGACTTTTGATGTTCAAAAGTAATCTCAAAACATCTCCTTAGCGACAAAAGAAGAAGAAGCATTAAGGAGCATGTGTATTTTTGGATAAGGGCACACAAAGGATTTGTTCCCCCATTCAACTATGCAGACCGAATTAGCTATTTTTACCGACCGAGTAAGAGATGCGGACCGGATCATATACAAATCAAACATCCTGACCAGACCGAGTCAGAAAAAAACATCTGACCAGACCGAGTCAATATTAAATCAAACAGGCCCTAACAGGCCTGAATACAATGAAAAATAAAAATCAGGGGTGCCCCTGACTGAAAACACGGCGTTTGGATTTTTTTTTTCTTTTTTGAGTAAATTATAATACTAAAAAAGCATGTTTGGTACTTATTTTTTTAAATTAATTCTTGTTTATTTAATTTTTTTTATTTTTTGAATGGTAAATCTAACCTACTTTTATTATATTACTTCTAAATTTATCTATGTCTTCAACGAGACTTGAACCCTTAAACTCAAAAAGGAAGAACTATCAATACCTGATACCGTTGGATTTTACAAATGTAATTCCTTCCGATTTAAAAAAAAAAAAAAAAAAAAAAAAACTATTTTGGCCTTAGTAATTTCCTTTTTAATTTTTTTATTTGTTTATAATTTTTAGATAAATAAAAAATATCTCCATGGCCTCATGTAAATTCTATTGTTCGAGTCCAAACCCACTAAGAATTTGCCATGTAGGGTCTTTCATGAAGGGGACATTACTATTGGGCTTTACTCGTGTTATTAGTTTGTTCACCCTTCAAATTTATCTATTGGGCTCATGGGTTGGTATCGAAGGGTGGTATCCCAATTCCCAAACATATATTGTTATAAACAATAAAGTTTAAATAAAAGATGAACATGTTGCCTGCATCATTGTTGTTTTGTCTTTTGCAAGTTTTAAACGGAACCCAATTGTGATTTTAGGTTTGACATTAGAAGCTCGAGTGTTTTAACATGGTTGTAGATATGAAAATACGAAAGTTTGGTGATCGTGAGGTAAGTTCTGAATTATTTAAATATATGGCAGGTTCAAATCTATGCAATTTGTACTGTGACTTGTGACTTGAACCCATCAAAAGTTACAGATTTTGGTTGAATTTCACATGGATGATTTCAGTGATTTAGATAGGATGTACTTCTATATTGCGCATGAAAATCTTTGGCGCATCTTTTATATCCGATTAGATGGAAAATTTCTTACTTTATCCGAACTTGGTACAATGATAGAGGAAACAAAGACACATATTTCGTTTCCCGTGCTCTATCGAAAATTAAGCTAGCATTGATTGTAAGTTTGCAGAATGAATAACAAGATGTTTTTCCTAGCATGAAGCTTGAGAATCAAACTTCTGATGATTTTTAAACACTTGCATTTTATGTAGTAAAAATAGGACTTGTTAACATTTTGAATAAAAATGTAACAAATTGAATTGTTTATACATAGTGCCAAGATATCAATATAAATTACAAATCTACTCCATTTTAAAACCTATTACAATTATCATATAATCAATTACAAGTTGCTAGTATGTATGTGTGTGTGTGTGTGTTTTCCTAAAAAGTAAAAACTACAAACAACCATGAAATCGATCGGTGAGTCAACCCACTTCTAAAGTGGTTGCAGTTTCAGGGACTGTAGAATCAGTGAGTTCTCTTCCGCTTGTCTCAAAGGGGAAAAGCATGACACAAACACCCGAAGAAAAAATAATAAATTCAAAGAGGAGGATGGCGGCGGTTTGATGGCAGCCATGTATCAAACCCACCGCCACCAGCGGACATATCATGCCGCCAATTCGCCCCACCGAGCTGCCCACCCCAACACCCGTTGTTCTCACTGATGTCGGGTATATCTATATATATATATATATATATATATATATATATATATAATAATAATACAAAATAGTAAGAAATGAAAGCAGAATTCTATAATAATAAATAAAAGTATGTTGCTATAAGCATGAACAAAATACTTGCCTCAGGGGCAAAAATGTAAACCACAGTGAAGGTTGTTGTGATGCATATTCGAGCCATAAAGAGAAGAAATGTTGTGAGGGCTTGAGGTTGTTGGAAAGTCAATGGGAGCAAGAAAATGCAACAAAGGAAGAACATTGTTGACATGGAGCGCTTTCGACCGAGTCTATCGATTGTAAAAGCTGATATAATAAGTCCCGGGAACTCTTGAACCAAATTAAAGGTAAATCTACTCAGCCAGATTATCTTCCACAGATGAACAATATAATATATTAAACTATGAAAATATGTCTTATTTTTTATCTTAAAGAAAAACAAAGGCGTTGTTTAGAAAATATTTGAGAAAATCAAGGCAATTAAGAGGTAAGTCTTCTTTCACACCCTTTCTCCATTAAGTCGAGAAAAAGAGGCATTCCTTGTTAAGTCCTAACTTTTTACATATTTGCCTTCATTTATTTTTTCTTTCCATTTTCTCAAAGGGATAATGATATAAAAACCCATTTTTGGATTTTAGGTTCACTAATACCGAATACTTGCAACTTTTTTTTCGATTTTGCCCTTTTGTGTATTTCTGGTTCATTAAAGCCCTTAAGTTTGGTAGAAATGTTCGGTTTTACCCGGTAAGTCTGCGAAAAGGCTAAAATTGAAAAAAAAAAAAAAAAAAAAAAAAAGTTGCAAGTATCCGGTATTAGTGAACCTAAAACCCATAAAAGGGTAAATCCACACACTTCTGGCAAACTTAAGGGCTTTTATGTCATTATCCCTTTCTTTAAATGCTATCCAAACATCACGGGACCCACACATGCATATACAAAGCATACCTGCAAAGCTAGTGATGAAAACGTCTTTATAGCTAACCTCCTCTGAGCCTTGAGATCGTGATCCATTTGGTCCACAATTATTCGCACCATTATGCAACTCGGTTGTAAGAAGCACAAGCCCATAATAAGAAAAAGCATTCCCAAAGAAAACCACCCATAAAAGCAAAGTCGGCTTTATCAATTCCGGAGAAAACAACATAGTCAACGTTGACACGTTACTTTTACTATGATCAATAACTTCCGCTTTTTCATCATCCGTGTGCTTATTACTCTGAGGGAGCAAGCGTGCACCTTCTGATTCCATTGACTTGACATTCAACTCGATTTCATTGTCGGAAACAAGGATTCCGGAGGGAAGTGATTTCCCGTTTATCTTGGCAACTTTTTCCAAGATACGAAGGGCTTCACTTGTTCTTCCTTTTAAGCATAAATATCGAGGTGATTCCGGGACTACACGGTAGAATAGAAGGAGGAGAGATGAAGGCAGAGATGAGAATGCAAGTAACCATCTCCATCCCAATGTTGGCATCACAAACTACAAAAAAGAAAAATTAAAAATATATTACGAAAATAAATATAGAAAGTATATCAAGAGATGGGAAAGGGCATTTTCGTCTTTTACACAGACGAGAGATAAAGAGCGAGTCCCCGTCCCACCTTTTTTGGGTGGGACAAAAAATTAAAATTTTTGTCCCCTTGACATCAGTCCCTAGTCTCAGTGAGTCATACACAGTACAACTGTTTCTGTCCTGTTGTGCATAACAAACGGGCCATTTGGGCCCGTTTTGTATGATAAGACAGTGCAGAACAGGACAATTTTGTACTGCATTTGACATGCATTGGACTA